TTAAAATTTGCAACAACTTTCTAAACTTGTCCTTTTTTCTTAATTATTTATCTTCTTTATTCACAAGTATTTCATGAATTCATGAACATTTTGTAAATTTGCCCATCGCAAACAGTTTTTAGTCAAAACATTTATTAATAGGAAGTATATTTTGTAATTGGTGGACACCTTTTCTAAATCATGAACATTTTTTTACTTTTTGAATACTACTTGAATTCGTGACCATTTTTTCAAATTCATGGACTACTTGTTCTAATTATGAGTTGACTAACATTTCTTAAACTCATGGACATTTTAAATATCTGAACATTATTTAGAAAATTATAATAAATTTTAATACTCCCCCTTTTACAAAATATAGGTCTTCGTTTTAGTTAAATTTTGTAATGAAACCACAACAAGTAATTTAGAATGTACGGAATACAAAACTGGGTTGAAATAAAAACAACTGAAAACCCCAAGATGGTGGGGCAGAATGGTAGGTTGGCGACCACACTAGTTCCTCTGGCTTCGATGCCTGCCATCTTTTATTTTTCTATACTACTATATAGTGTACCAATCTTGAATTGGACCTCTAGCATCAATTGTAACAGCTGGTTTGCTAAATCCAGTGTTTGGGAGCAGCAGGATTCACGGTGAACAGGGACTGCAGCTGTCTCCACGGACTATGGCGGGCCCAGGAATTGAAGTTAGCCGGCGCATTAAGACATTCAACTACCTGATACGACCACAATTGCTATTCAAACGTCACATATTAAAGGATTGCCTGCTGAAGATAACAACGTGCCAAAAATATTTCCATTGGGTGGAGACGACAAGGAGGTTAAGGTGTTGGCAGCTGTGGAAAAACAGTGTACAGTACAAAGGATTAATCCATATGGGCATTGCATGTATTAGGGAATCAAAGATCATGTACACATGCAAGTGGGCCTAACCAGAAATTGATTAAAAATCAAGTTGTGTACATGCATGACAAAGAACAGGACGTTCTTGTCCAGAACGTGGGGCAGGCGCACAAATTAAGCAAGAAGGAAATACTAAGAGAATTTTCATTCATCTTCTTGCCTCACAAGAAAAATAGTAACAGAAGGATTTCCTGTCCGTTTAAGCCTGTCCGTTTAAGTTGTTAAGCCTGAAGGATTCTGGATGGGGTCCACCAGCAGGAGATGCACGCCAAGGAATAAACATTGCTAGAGTCCTAAATACTTTAAGTATGTCACGGTGGAGTTGTATCTTGTGTGCGTGAGATAGACTAGGGAATTAATGGGTCGGTTACCTTGTGGGTCAAGTTAGGAGGATTGGTTACTACTATAAAACCACGTCCGTGCGTCATGTAAAAAAAGACTTAGGTTATTTTTGATATGAAATAGACAGATGTGTTTTCGAGGATAGACACCCGTATCAAGGTTTTGAGGTAACTTTAGAAAACCTCTTTGTTGCGATTTCTATGAGGAAATTGTTTTGCGCGTGACGTGCCGTCGTCCAGATTGTTTCTCTCGTGCTGAGCCGCAAGGTTCAAAACCCTCTACTTCGTGTACATCGCGTGCGCGGGCGAGAGGCTACTACTGCTAGAGGTGGAGTACCATGAAGATCGGGCCGTAAAAACAAATCGGATCTCGCAACGAGGTTCGGTCTTTATCACTACCACAAACATAAAAAGGTCTTTGAAACAATTAATATGGATTCTTCACTTGATGTTACAATACATTTTCAGAATCTCAAGCGAGACCTACAAAATTATGAATGTATTGGCTCAAGTGTGATAACTATTGTATATTTTCTACCCACAATTTTTTTTAATATTTTCATAAGATGGCAGTATACCTCTAACATGTAGTTGTACAAAGAACATGAGGTTGTCAAGGTACATGGCCTCTACGTTTCCGCAAAGTATAAAAATGTGACATAGTCTGTTTATCACTGATTATGACGAGTAAATAGCATAAAACTACTACTTTACAAGTTAGGGTTCCGAAAAACTACCGGTATTTAATTTTTCTCAAATAACTACCAAATGGGTGGTCGGTTGTTTCAAAAACCCAAATCCCCGAGTCTTTATCAGTTGATCACGATTATGACAATTGAGGCCCACATGTAAGATAACCGTTCGTTTGACCATTAACTTTGATCGTTAACTTACATGTGTGTCCCACATGTAAGTTTTGCAAAAAAGTAATCAGGTCCCTACAAGTTTTCTGAAAAAAGCAATCAGGTCCCCGTGAGTTTTTTGAAAAAGCAATCGGGTCCTCGAGGCAAGGTAGCGCTGCCTCCTCCGGCCGGCGAGCCGCGCCTGCAGCGGCCGAATCCTCGTCTTGCACCACCTGAGGCCGGCGAGCCACAACCATAGCGGCCGGGTCAATGCCATGCATCACCTGCGGCCGGCGAGCCACGCCCGCAGCGGTCACCATGCCGTGCCTCGCCTTCGGCGGCCGCCGCCCAGCCGTGCCTCGCTCGCGGCCGCCCCGCCGTGCCTCGCCTGCCGCCGCCGCCATTTCGCGACTCACATGTGCCCGCCGCCACGCGGTGCCTTGCCTGCGTCCGCTGCCATCCCCTGCCGCGAGCTCCTCAAGCTCGACGCGGACGGCCTCGTCGCCACCGTCGTCGCGGTTGTCGCGAACTGCTGGAATGCGCACCTCCCGTCGCCGCGGTCGAGGCCGGCCTCGTCGCCACCAGGAGTTGGGGAGGAGAAGGAGTGTCGTCGCCGGCTTGGGAGGGAAGGGGGTCGCCGGCTCGGGAGGGGAGAGGTCAGACACAGGAGGAACAGAGGAGCGAGGGGAAGAGATAGAGAGGAAGAAGAAATAAAAGAGGAAGAGGAAACTTACGGTCAAACTAAGGTCAAACTAATGGTTTGTTTAGGTGCGGGCCCAACCTATCATAATCGCGATCAACTGATAAAGTCTCGACGATTTGGGTATTTTGAAACAGCCGACCACCCATTTGGTAGTTATTTGAGAAAAAATAAAAATCAATAGTTTTTTGGAACCCTAGCCGGTAAAGTAGTAGTTTTATGCTATTTATTCGATTTTGACCAATCCATTGAGCACTGCTGAGCTGGATCGATGTTTGGTGTCCAGCAGCATGCGTTCGATCACTTGGGTCTTCAATGCAATTGGGCAAATGCTACAGACTAGCCAAAACGCTGCAGCCCAGCCCAATCGCCATTCTGCCCCTAACCCAGCCCTTCCCTCATGTAGTGCTTCGTGGAAACATGAAACAAGCCGCCTCTATCAAAACTGTTCGCCGCAGCCATGAAATCAGCTGGCCACCGGAAGATAGGTAGGCGGGGGTCGCTGCTCCTCCAGCGGGGACCCGGGGCGACTGCCCTAGCTCGCCCCAATGGTGGATCTGCCACTGACCACGGTGTTCTGGAAGCATCACTTCACCCTTCCCAGATAAAAAGGCCTATACATGATACCTCTTGGGCCATGTTGCAGAATGAGTAAACCTGTGATGGGCCAAGCAGATCGCGAGGAGAACGGGAATAAGAGAAAGCAAAGTACAAATTTCGGATTCTTCTATGTCTCATCATTGTGGTCTTGGGTACTAATCTACCTCTGCTATACTTTGCCTAAAAAACCCCTCTACTATACTTATATTCTGCATTCTTATATCAACGAAAAGATTACCTTGAATCTATTACCATGTACTATGTGACATTTTGGGTTTTCCAAATTCACTCCATTAATTTTAAGACGTGCAGTGCACGTGCATAAATAGTTAAATACTAGTTATTGACTAGTGTTCATGGGATGCAGCACTGCTACAAGATGAGTGATCCATGGAAGTGGTGTCGCTCGCTGGACCAGGTGAAGATTGGTCCCATCGGAGAGCAACTAGTAAGTTGAGTAAGACAAGAGAGCGTTGGTTAACATGAATAAAATACTACTCCCTTCGATTCCTAAATATAAGACATTTTAGAGATTTCAATATACACTACATACGGATGTACATACACGTATTTTAGAGTTTGTTGATTCATTCATTTAGCTTCGTATCTAGTCTATATTTGAATCTCTAAAAGGAATTATATTTAGGAACAGAGGGAGTAAATCATACTGCCGCTTGCTTTGTATGAAGTCTATTTGAACCTCTAGAAAGTCCACTACATTAAAGTACTCATAGCAGAATAGTGAGGGCAGCTACTATCATGCATAGAAGGCGCAACCAACTAGGAGTTGGTCTATGGGTGTATATACATCCTATTTATAAAAACAATTAAGTAAAAAGTCAAAAAAACTGAAAGTATTTTTAAAATAAAATTGACGTTCAATTATACTTGCAAAAAAAGTTCCACAAAAAGAAAAATAACCCATTGGCTTCTTTTAGAAAAAAAAATTCATCCAATATATTTTTTGCCCTGAAGTCAACGCTGATTTTTTATTTGTGAAAATTTACATACTAGTGTGAATGAAATTCTAGTTTATTCTAAAAATCTTATTATTTTACTTTTATTTCTTGTATTACTATTTTTCCTCGTATGGTGTGTATATACATGCAGAAACCAAAGGTTCTTTCAACGACAAACTGATGCTGAAATGAACGGTGCTACGGATCTATTAGTACCAGCAGCATCCATCACCCTGGCCAAGGAAAATCGTACATTAACTAGGGTGGTTGCACTGGACCAACAAGTGTCCCATCAGACCCGTGCTAGCATCACTAGCAGGAGTATTAATTCAACTACCAGCAACGCTATTCCATCCGCCCAATCGCTCCCTGTATACGACACGACGTTGACACAGCTCGCTGGAGTGTCATGCCTCAAGTTCAGATCTTTGCTTTCTCACCCGCTTTCCTCCAGAGGTAAGCATTCCAGTGAACATTAGTACAATTTCTCATATAGTTCGTGTCAATGGCCATAAATCAGCCCCTCCCCACCCCCAATCGCAGTATCCCACCACATCAATCAACAAGCCCCCAAGACCAATAAGTCCCCTGCATCTCCCGAGCGTCGAGTTGAGCCAGAGTTTGCTTCGAGAGATTAAATTTATTCCGTCGAGATGGCATCGCAGGCGATCGAGGTGAACAGGGAGGGCGCGGAGGTGTACCGTGGTGCGGCGTTGTGCGCAGAGAAGGCGATGGAGCTGCTGGCCGAGACCAACATGCCGCTGGCGGACATCGAGGAGGTCGGCTACAACCGCTCCACGGGTTTCGTGTGGCTGCGCCAGAGGAAGGCGCTCACGCACACCACCGAGGTGACGGCCTTGGTCGAGGACCGCAAGATGAAGTGCATCACGGGGGTCAAGAGCAAGGAGCCCCTCGTCTGGGTCACCGTCTGCGACATGTACATCGACAAGAACGACCACTCAAAGATCACGTTCAAGACGCCCACCGGACTGGGAAGTGTTAGCAAATAAGCCACGGTTGTCTGAAAGTAGTCTGATTAGTGTCCGAGTAGTGTATGGCTTGGCCATGGTCTGGGCATAGTGCGACTTGTGTCTAGGGTTAGTCTGAGTTGTGTACGGGTGCGTGCGTGTGCGGTGAGCGTGTTGGACGCGAGTCCGTGGCCGCGCGCAGTCCCTGGCAAGTGTGCGTGCGTGCGTGAGTCTGTTGGCGAGAGTAGCGGGATGTTGCGTAGCGATCGGGTGCAGCCGGCTGCGTAGGACGCGTTTGTGCGCGTCGTGGGCACGCCGGGCTTGCGGATCGTGGGTGTGGAAGAGTGGAGCGCGGCGTCGTGCGCGCGCGTACGCATATAAGTCTCCCTCCTGTGTCCTGGTTCAGCTGTGGTGCAGTTCGTGCTGCGGGAGAAAATATTTGCCGTTTGTGCGGCAGGCGTTCGAGCGCCGGGAAAACCACCCCCGTGTCCACTACTGCTTCTCCTTCCTCCTTTCTTCTTCAGTGTGTGCGAGAGAGAGAAGTACAGAGAGCTCCGGCGAGCGAGGGAGAAGGCTGCAACTCCAACAATTAGCATCAGAGCCATGTTGCGGGAGTTGATCGCCGGCGATGTCGATCGTGCCGTACGCCGGCGGGTCGGGGAGCTTGCTGCCTGTGCCGTGCCCAGTGCTCACCGGTGAGAACTACACCGTGTGGGCAATCAAGGTTGAGGCCAACCTCGACGCGGCTGGGCTCTGGGAGGCTGTGGTTCCGGCGGAGCACGCGGCGGCGGCGGTCATCGCCAAGAAGGACAAGCCGGCGAGAGCGTATTTGCACGGGGCGCTCTCCGGGGAGATTTTGCAGCAGGTCTCGTCGAAGAAAAGGGTCGCGGTGATATGGGCTAACTTGAAGACGAGGTTCGTCGGCGCGGACCGCGTGCGGGCGGCGCGGCTGGCCACTCTCCGCGGAGAGTTTGAGCAGCTGCGCATGGCAGAGGCCGATACGTTGGATGTGTTCGCCGGCAAGCTCGGTGGCATGGAGGCGCGATTCGCGGGGCTTGGGTCGATGCTGGAGGACGCCGCGATGGTGAAGAAACTTCTCGACTCCGTGCCGGACCGCCTGTACGCGGCAGTGGTCGGAATCGAGCAGTTCTGCTACGTCTCCACCATGGCCTTCGAGGAAGCGCTCGGTCGCCTGAAGGCCTTCGACGAGCGACTGTGACGCCGTGGACAAAGCGGCGGCGAGCACGGGGGTGATCAGCTGCTCCTGATGATGGCGTAGTGGCGGGCACGGGAGCGGCCCCAGGGCGGCGCTCGGGACGACGACGACGGCAGGACCGTGGCGTCGGGCAACGGCGGCAACAGGCGTGGCTGCTACTACAGCTGCGGCGAGCGCGGCCACTTCAAGCGATATTGCCCAAGGCTGCGGAAGGCGCCGGCGGCAGAACGGGCACTGGGCACTGCTGGTGGACGTCGACGTCGAGGACGCCGGCCTCCTCTAGCCCGTGGCTTAGGGGGTGACTGTTAGCAAATAAGCCACGGCGGGGTACTTGTCTGTCAGTAGTCTAATTAGTGTCCGACTAGTGTATGGCTTGGCCATGGTCTGGGCATAGTACGACTTGTGTCTAGGGTTAGTCTGAGTTGTGTCTAGGCTTAGTCCAGCTAGTGTATGGGTGTGTGCGTGTGCGGTGAGCGTGTTGGACGCGAGTCCGTGGCCGCGTGCAGTCCGTGGCAAGTGTGCGTGCGTACGTGAGTCTGTTGGTGAGAGTAGCGGTAGGTTGCGTAGCGATCGGATGCAGCCGGCTGCGTAGGACGCATTTGTGCGCGTCGTGGGCGCGCAGGGCTTGCGGATCGTGGGCGTGAAAGAGTGGAGCGCAGCGTCGTGCGTGCGCGTACGCGTATAAGTTCGTGCTGCGGGACAAAATTTTTGTCGTTCGTGCGGCAGGCGTTCGAGCGCCGAGAAAACCATCACCGTGTCCACTGCTGCTTCTTCTTCCTCCTTTCTTCTTCAGTGTGTGTGCGAGAGAGAAGTACAGAGAGGTCCGGCGAGCGAGGGAGAAGGCTGCAGCTCCAACAGGAAGGACCTTCCCCGTCTCCGCCTACGGAAAGGAGGACGACATCAAGCACAACGTGGCCAAATAAGCGACCACGGTGGGCATAAAGTGTTTCTTTTTCTATCAGATATACAGAGTCTGACACTACGATGAATACTACCTGTACTTATTATATATATATATGATCTGTTTTAATAAAGTGAAATTATGAAGTTTTAAATCACAGCCGATCAGAAATGTCAGCTTGCTTTGCATGGCTCCTTAAATCATAGTAAGTAGAGTCATTCATGCCAAAGGCCAACTCCAATGCGCCGATCTAATGGGGATTTTAATAGTAGCCATTTCCCCAGAAGAAGCACTACTGCGACAAGCGTGGTTTACGTGCACGTGCTATGGGTAATTAGCAGTAATGCCTTCTTTTAATAGGTGCTACTGATGCGAACCAACCTGTGATTGGATGGTTAGAAGTACTGTGGTATCCCCAGCTCACCAGGGTTCAAATCCTGGTGCTCGCATTTATTCCTAGATTTATTTTAGGATTTTCGGCGATGCGCATTCAGTGGGAGGACACGTTCCCGTCCAAGACGAGGTGCCTGCCGTGACTTCGTAAATTTTAAGATGATATGCCGGCTCAATCTTTTCAAGTTGCTCTACGTGTGTGCGTTCATAGAGGTGAGTGTATGCGCGTGTATATGAGCGCTTGTGTCTGTATTGATATTAAAAAAAACAGGTGCTACTAATAAGATTTGATGTATAACCTTTTTTCCCTAGTAGTGTTGGTGGCAGGCGGTGGCCAGATCTGTCAAGGAGGAGGGAGGTGAGTCGGGCCGGCGGTGAGGGAATATATTTGTAGGCGAGGGAGGGAGCTCCGCCAGGTAGGTGAACGACGACTGTGGGCGTTATGCCTCTAGTAATGAAGGCAGCTGAATCCGCACGGCTACATCAGAATCCAGACGGCCACATGGCGCCGGAGCTACGTGTGAACAACGGCAAGCCACCTAAAGTCAAAGGCCTACCACCGCAATTACGCCGTATGTGCTATTGAAAGCACACGGCATTAGGGGATGGCGCACTGCTTACTCCGTCACGCAGCGTGTACGCGAGTGTTTGTGGTACGCCGTGTGTTTTTTGGGCTGGCCACTGCGTATAAGGGCAAGCTATGTATATAGTAGGAAATAAGTTCATATGTGTTTGACTTTCGCCAAATTGAAACAATATATACCAAACATAAATAATGCTACGAGGACTATGCAAGCCAATCTCTCGGAGGTGCACGTGCTCACAGGGGTAGGGTATACATGTATGCTTTCAGAGGGTGTGTTAAAAAAATTAATGCAACGAGATATGATAGACACATGCCTCAAAGTTCAGTTGTACTCCAAAAGTAGTGCTTGACATGCTTGTACTCCAAAAGTACGATTAAGAGGCATCCCGCCTCAGCACTATTCTCGAGCACGTGGGCGCCGTCGATGACCACCAGCTGTATGCGCCCCCCGCCGCACAGGCGAGCACATTGATTAGGCGTCGAACCTAGCCAGGTCGGCACCCAGCCGATCTTTTGCACCAGCGATAGTTATGCCGTGTTGAGCACCACCAGGCGGCCGCCTTTGGGGATATCCATGTCCAGGCGCCTCCAGCCAGTTGAGCACCCCACCCTCCCGGTTCTTCGCCCTGGCTCCGGCACGGAGTGCCGGCGGCGATCTTGACGACACCATATGTTAACTTTAATCTTAATTGATATATATGCATTTTAGTTTGTTTGTCGTTTGCATGTAGCTTAGTGTGTAGCATGTTGTAGTTCGGCAAGGTATGCATATGATATGTACGAATCCGGCGAGTATCAACAAAGACATTAAAGGCGAGATATCCGTGAGATTAGTGGCCTGAGTTATACAACCGTGTACTAGCCTCTTGTGTATATATATTTGTTGATGTGAGTAATGAAAGATAAGGCCGAGAGAGTTGGGGGAAAATGTACCGTTTGTGTCATCATGAATATGGGCGGAGCAGTATGTCACCCTTGGCTTCTAGGGATCGATTATCTTGAGCCCTCTTTTTGTAAGGCTATGTGGGATCTTACTTTTTTTATTGAGCCATATGTATTTGCTGCCCGATGCCTGTACATGGCTCCTAATGGGGAGATATCAAGGACGGTGGAGCAAACATTTATTAATATTTTTCTTCAATGAAACAAGTGTAAACTTCTTCTTTGTTCATGGTAGTTGTCTTGTACTAAACTTTTATACTTCATTTTGACAACCAATATTTTTTATTAATAAAGTTTTTTACATAGCATAATTAGGCTCAACATTTTTTCTATTAAGACTTGATACTATTTATGATACATGGTACAAATGTATACTATAGAATAATACACTTGTGCTAAACTTAAAATGTACTTTTTAGAAAATGTACTACAATCTTTCATTTTCGAGGCTTTGTTGTAGACACAACTTTTGTCAAATTGTTTCAAAAAGCAAGAAACAAAGAGATCAAAATCATACACCTCCACGTATTTGTGGTGTGCATAATTTATTTATATGCATTCACGGGACTGTATGATCATGTATAACTTAATATCCTTCAAAATTTGAAGATATCTCTGAAGTGGGCAATCCAGCAGTTATTTTAATACACACTTCTAGTGTAGGACGAGTAGGAAAGGATGTAATCATTATAAATTCTAGAGTATATATGTTGTTCACTTGAATTATTAATGAATTGGTATTCCTAGTTAAGGGGCACTTTGTGGTAAATATTATGCAAATTGCACGTGCGGAACTTATTAGTGGTGTCCCCTATAAGTACACACCGCCGGTATCTGGCCAAACTACCAATGGTATGCCACATTTTTTTAAATGCCACTGATGGTTCTCTGGTAGTCGTGTGACTGCCTGCCAATGTGTATGCCAGCGCACTCGAAAATCATCCCACCGGCGAAGCTCGCCGCACCACCACTAGATCCTTTTTTTCGGTGGGTCTTCCGATAAT